AAAAATTCAACCCCAAAACCCCAAAACCCCAAAACCCCAGGGTACTTATTAATAAATGTATTGATATTTGAATATTAGATTTCAATTAAGAAACTAAATATAGGTAAATATAATTTCAACAAAGTGATTAACTCTTCTCAGAAGTCGTGGTCACTACCTTCTTCTTGATCGTCATCGACTTGATCACCATCATTATCATCTCCTTCATCTTCATCATCATCTCCCACATCTTCATCGTCCTCATCGTCATCATCTTCAGGTTGTAGTTCACCCTCTGCTACATGAGCACCTTGTTTATAGTTACCATTTTTACCAGGAGGTTGTCCCTTAGCTCCGAATCCTGTCCTGGTCTCCCTCATTTCATTGAATAGTTTGTCCTTCTACTTTTTATTGGCTTCATCATCGTCCTCGTCATTGAATATTTCTTCAGCTCTTCTCTGGTTGTTTTGTAGATTCTCAATTACCTTTTGGTCTTCTTTCCTTCTCTTTTCTTCTTATAGGTTGTATCTGTCAAGTTCATACTCAAGATAGTCAATGTTGGAGAACTTTTCAACATAGATCATGTAGAATCTCTCCAACTCAGCCTCAAGTCTTTCATACTCTTCCTAGTATTCTGGTTTCACATTCTCAATTCCCTTCATACGTTTCTCCGCACGCTCAAGTTCTATCTTTCTTCTCTTTATCTTACTGTCTAGCTCACCTTCATCCATTCGTAACTGTTTCACAGTGTCTTCCATTTCATTCATTTTACGAGTCTGCTGGTCAATGATGTTACGAATACATTTTTCAATATATTGCTATTCAGTATTGGTATCGAGGTTTCTTGAAATAGAGTCTAAGAATTCTAAAGCCTTGTCTCTTGCTTCTCTCAAGTCTTTTTCTTGACCAAGCAAATCAAAAAGCTTTGCACCTGATTCGGTGATTTCAGTTGCTAATTGTCTAGCTGCTTTCAAATCATGAAGTTTTGAACTCATATTAAAGTCCATTAAAGCTCCAGCATTCTCATCATCCTCAGTAGTTTGACTTGACTGCATAGCCTTATACATCATTTGAGCAACCTTGAGCATCTCCTTGACTGCAAAACCTTAAGCCTCGTAGAGCTTCTTAGGGTTAAGAGTAATTCGTGCCTTAGCCGCGAACAATTAACAAACGCTTCTTATAAAGAGGACTCTATCTTTTTCTTCCTCAATATCGTCGGAGATATCAGCCTTAGGATCATAGCGAAGAGCGAACCAGTAGAGGATGTCTGCTACTAGTTCGAAGTTGGGATCTTTGAAGTTTTCAATTGAGATGTTACGATGGTAACCCAGAGCGCGCATGATCTCGCAAAAGTTACGAAGCTCTCTGTATGACATATTTTAATTCAAATTATAGACTTATTATTCAAATTTTAAATATCTTAAATCCTTCATAGCTCACTCTCAAGGGGTTTTGGGGTTTTGGGGTTTTGGGGAGATCGGAAGAGCACACGTCTG